AGCATGCCCAGTACTGAGCTGCAAGGCAAATTCCTAAGCTCACTTTCCTACCCTGTTCCTAGTGGCTGGATTCTTGCTCTTCTATCTTCCAGAGGATGACAGAGGAGTGTAGAAGCAGTCTCTTGAGCACCTGGGTAAGGTGTATCCAAAGACCCAGTCTCCTGTCCTGGCCTGGGGGTAGAGACCATGGGGCCCTGTCTATTACTGGGTTTCACAGTAGCATGTCTGATACTAGGTCTCCAGTCAAAGATATGAACCTAATTCCCTCTTCCTCCCCAGTGGGAGTCCAGATGTCTCTCTCCACATTACTACTGGGAGATGAGAGAGAGAGGTGATACAGGCAGCTCTTCCATTCCTGCCTTCAATGCGTCTTTTCTCTTTATTATACTAGAGGCAGGCACTGTGGTCTCTCACTTCTTTAGCTCCTGTGAAGGTGGTATCTCTGTGGGAAGATGGTCACCAGAGCCTCTTACTCAGCTGCCATCAGGCTCCGTTCCCCATAGTTTGCCCCTAATACATGTTTTCCATGAACTTTCGGAAGTACCCTCGTATTCAATATCATCAGCCTGGGCCCCAAGTCTCCCTCTCTTCCTGAGACTCTACCCTTCTGCTGAGACTGCAAGCTAAGTCTTGAGCAGATACAGGAGGGGAGACACCACACAGCCTGAGTGACGTGGCCTGACTCCAGAGTTCAGCAGACCTTGAGACAACAGAAATAAATAAACTTAGTAATAATCACTTTTTAGTCATAGTGATAATGACTAATTTAAGCAAAAAATCAAGAATTGATATGAAAGCCTCAAAGTAAGCAGGTGGTGAAGTCAAGGTAACATACATCGGCTCAGAGTGTTCTCACACATGCTTATTAATTATAATTTCTCCAGTGGAGAAATCTGACTCCACCTGTAAATCACTGAAATTCACTCCAACAGTAATGGCACAAACCAAGGTCAGGTTCCTGCTGATACAATGCACTAAGAACACACTGTCTCTCTTGCAGTATCACCGACAAAAAGTAAGTAAGCTGAAAATAATCATAGGAAGCACAAAGCAAACCCTAATAGAGTGCCAGTCTACCAAGTAACAGCTGGACTCATCAGCCAAGGACTGAATAGCGACGAAAGCAATGGAGAAAAAGGAAGCTGAGGCAGGACATACTTAGAAAGTATGTCTCCTGGGGCCGGCGCTGTGGCATCGCAGGTAAAGCCGCGCCTGCAGTACCAGCATCTCATATGGGTACATGTTTGAGTCCCCGCTGCTCCTCTTCTGATCCAGTTCTCGGCAATGACCTGGGAAAATAGTAAAAGATGTCCCAAGTGCTTGGGCCCCTGCACCTGTGTGGGAGACCTGGAAGAAGCTCCTCAGTTCCTGCCGTTGCAGCCATCTGGGGAGTGAACCAGTGGATGGAAGATCTCTTTCTCTGTCTCTCTGCCTCTGTCTCTCTGTAGCTCTGCCTTTCAAATAAATAAATATGTAGAAAGAAAAATAAAGGAAGGAAGAAGGGAGGGAGGGGGGAAGGAGGCAGGCAGGAAGTCTCCTGAGAAATTCTCTTCTCTATGTAGCAATGCCACCATGTATGTGAAAAAAACAACAAACATAAAGTAACACATTCAGAGGCCTATTTTGGCCTAAGATGTGTGCATTTTCCTTAGAGGAAACAGGATTTTTGTTTATGTAGTAAAATACACATAACATAAATTTCCTATTGTAATCGTTTTAGGAGCACACTTAGTGGCAATGAGGACAGTGTACACTCTTGGCGTGACTATCACCACTCTCCATCCAGAACCATTTTCCTCCAGCAAAAGTACAACTCTGTACCCAGGAAACAATAACTCACTATACCCCTCCCCTCTACTCAGTCGACTTTCTTTTTCTGTGGATTTGACTACTCTGGATGCCTCTCATAAGTCAACTCACATAAATATCCTTTCATGTCTGGCTTAAGTCACTCAGCATAATGTCATCAAAGTTTGCCCACACTGAAGCATGAGTGAGAATTATCTTCCTTTTGGGGCCAACATTGTTGTGTAGCAGGTTAAGCTGCTTTCTGTGATGGCAACATTCCATATATTCTGGAGCACTGATTTTCGTCCCAGCTGATTTTCTGATCCAGCTCCCTGCTAATGTGCCTGGGAAGGCAGCAGAAGATAGCTCAAGAACATGGGCCCCTGCCACCATGTGGGAGACCTGGATGTAATTCCAGGCCCCTAGCTTCGGGCTGGCCCAAACCTGACTGTTGCAGCCACTTGGGGAGTGAACCAACAGATGGAATCTCTCTCTCTCTCTCTCTCTCTCTCTCTCTCTCTTCCTCTCTGTCATTCTGCCTTTCAAATAAATACATAAATCTTAGACTGAATAATGTTATATAGATATACCACTTAAATAATATACATTTGTATGCATTACATAGCATGTGAACTCTTTCCAGCTTTTGGCTATTATGAATAATGCTGCTTATTAACATTCATATACAAATGTGTTCCACTCCTTTCAATTCTTTTGGGTATATAACCCAGAAATGCAATTGCTGGATCATATGTTAAAAAGTTTTTAAAATAGATGGCATGAAAAAAAACTTTGCCATACAAAGACTATGCCAATAGAAAGAAAAGACAAGCAACAGATCAGGAGCAAACATTTGTAAAAGACATATCCAATAAAAGACCGTTATCCCCAAATTAAACAAAGAACTCTTTAAATTCAACAATAAGAAGACAAAGAACTCAATTCAAATCTGGGCAAATTAAGAAAAGAGTCTCATCGAAGGAGATATACACATGGCAAGTAAGCATTTGAAAAGATGTTCATCACATTTCACTAGGAGATTGAAACAATGAGCTATGATTACACACTTATTAGAATGCTGAAAATTCAGGGCAAGACATTTAGCATACTGGCCAGCATGCCACATATCACATGGGAGTTCCTGCATTCAATATCAAGCTCTGGGGTCTGACTCCAGCTTCCTCCTGATACAGACCCTAAGAGGCAGTGGTGACAGCTCATGTAACTGCATTCCTGCCACCTACACGGGAGACCTGGAGTGAGCTCCCAGCTCCAGCCTGGCCCAGTCCCCTGCCATTGTGGGCATTTGGGGAATGAACAAGCAATGAAAGCATTCTCCCCCTCCCTTCCTCCTCTCTTCCCTCTCTCTCACCCCTACCTCCAAATAAATAAATAACTTAAAAAAAAAAAAATAAGGAAATTCCACAGCCACTGTTGTGACACAGCAGGTTAGGCCACCATGCATGATGCCAGAATCCTATATCAGAGTGTCAGTTTGAGTCCTGACTGCTCCACTTCGTTTGTTTGTTTGTTTTTGTTTATTTGTTTTTGGACAGGAAGAGTGGACAGTGAGAGAGAGAGACAGAGAGAAAGGTCTTCCTTTATTTCCGTTGGTTCACCCCGCAATGGCTGCTATAGCCGGCGCACGTGCTGATCCGAAGCCAGGAGCCAGGTGCTTCCCCTGGTCTCCCATGCGGGTGCAGGGCCCAAGCACTTGAGCCATCCTCCACTGCCTTCCCAGGCCACAGCAGAAAGCTGGACTGGAAGAGGAGCAACCAAGACAGAATCTGGCGCCCTGACTGGGACTAGAACCCGGTGTGCTGGCGCCGCAGGCGGAGGATTAGCCTATTGAGCTATGGCGGCGCCGGCCATGACTGTTCTACTTCTAATCTAACTCTCTGCTAGTGCACCTGGGAAGGCAGCAGAAGGTGACCCAAGTCCTTGGGCCCCTACCACCCATGTGGACACCAGGATGCAGTTCCTGGCTTCAACTTGGCCCATCCCTGGCTGTTGCAGCCATTTGGGGAGTGAACCAGACAATGGAAGATCTCTCTCTCTCTCTCTCTCTCTCTGTCTCTCTGTCTCTCTGTCTCTCCCTCTCACTCTCCCTCCCTCCCTGTCCTTCTTCTCTCTTCCTCTCCTCCTCCCTTTCTGTTACTCTGCCTCTCAAACAAATAAATCTTAAAAAAAAAAAAAACAGAATGGCTAAAATGTAAAACAGTAACAACAGCCAATGCTGGTGAGAATATACAACAATAGGGATACTCACTGCTTGCTGGTGAGAATCATTAATGGTACAGCCACTTGGGAAGACAGATTGGCAGTTTCTTGCAGAACTAAACCTATTCTTACCATGTCACTCAGCAACCATGTTCCTTGGTATTTGCTCAAATGAACTGAAAATTACATCCACACAAAAACCTGCATGTGGTTATTCTCTAGCAGCTTTACTCATCCTTGCCAAAACTTGGGGGCACTCAGGATGACCTTCAGCAGGTGAATGGGTAAATGAGCTGCAGTATATCCAGATGATTAAATATGATTCATTGGTAAAAATAAATGAGCTGTGAAGCCATGGAAAGACATGGATAAAACTTAAATGCACACAACTAAGTGAAATGAGCCAATTTGAAAAGACTTCATATCGTAAGACTTTAACTGTATAACCAATCCTGGAAAAGGTAAAACCTAGAGACAGTGAAAGATCAGGGCTTTCCAGGGGTGGGGGTAGAGGGAGAGATGAATAGGTATAGTGCAGATGGGTTTTAGGGCAGTGAAACTATTCCCTTTTTTAAAAAACATATATTTGTTTTGAAAGGGGGGAGAAATAAGTGAAAGACAAAGAAAGGAAAGAGAGAGAGAGAGAGAGAGAGAGAGAGAGAGAGAGTGTCTTCCATATGCTTGTTTATTCCTCAAATGGCTACAACAGCAAGGGATGGTCTCCCATGTGGGTAGCAGGGCCCAAGCACATGCTTTTCCATGTATATTAGCAGGAAGCCGGATCAGAAACAGAGCAGCTGGGAATCAAACTGGCACTCTGATATGAGATACTGGGGTTTTAAGCAACAGCTTAACCCACTGTGCCATATGTCACTTCCCATCTCAGTGACACTATTCTGTATAATAGTATAATGGTGGATGCATGTCATATATTTGTCAAAACAAAAAAAACACCCAAACTGAACCCCAGTGCAAACCATGGACTGTTAGTGATAAGGATGTGTCAGTGTAGGTTAATCAGCTGTAAAAAATGCTCTACTCTGATGTGAGATGTTCATAGTGGGGGGTAGTGAGGGAGCTTTGTGCATGTGTAGAGATGGGGTATATGAGAACTCCCTACTTTCTATTCAGTTTTGTTGTGAAGCTACAACTACTCTAAAAGAGAAAGTTTGTTAATTAAAAAAAAAAAAAAACATGCCTGATTAGACTTTCGTGTCCTATATTTATAAGAAGGTTAGTGGTACATTTCCCCCATGAAAATTATTTTTGGTTCTTATTTACACATATGAATATAATAAATCTCTACAGGAAAAAAGAAGGCAAGCCCATCAACTTCATCGTCTTTTTTCCAAACTGAGCTTCTCTAAAAAGATAAGATGAAAGATTCAGAAAATCTGTCTCAACTCAACACTGCTCTCTCTCCTTCAATTCTCTACCAATCCAGAGGCTCCTTTCACATGGAAAGAGGTACAAGAAAAGAAAAATATTGAGGGGCCTGCACTGTGGCATAGTGGATAAAACCGATGCCTACAGTGCCAGCATCCCATACGGGCGCCAGTTCGTGTCCCAGCTGCTCCACTTCTGATCCAGCTCTCTGCTATGGCCTGGGAAAGCAGTAGGCCTTGTGCCACTGCACCCACGTGGGAGACCCGGAGGAAGTTCCTGGCTCCTGGCGTCAGCACAGCTCCGGCCGTTGCGGCCAAGTGGGGAGTGAACAAGCGGATGGAAGACACCTCTCTCTCTCTGCCTCTCCTTCTCTCTCTATGTAACTCTGACTTTCAAATAAGTAAATAAATCTTTTTTTTTTTTTTGACAGGCAGAGTGGACAGTGAGAGAGAGAGAGACAGAGAGAAAGGTCTTCCTTTGCCGTTGGTTCACCCTCCAATGGCCGCCGCGGCCGGCGCGCTGCGGCCGGCGCACCGCGCTGATCCGATGGCAGGAGCCAGGAGCCAGGTGCTTTTCCTGGTCTCCCATGGGGTGCAGGGCCCAAGCACCTGGGCCGTCCTCCACTGCACTCCCTGGCCACAGCAGAGAGCTGGCCTGGAAGAGGGGCAACCGGGACAGAATCCGGCGCCCCGACCGGGACTAGAACCCGGTGTGCCGGCGCCGCTAGGCGGAGGATTAGCCTAGTGAGCCGCGGCGCCGGCCACCATAGGAGTTTAAAGATTTTTTATGCCTGCATCCCAACCACAGAGATTTTTGTTTAATTGGGAATGAATTTGTCCTGGGCATGAAGACTTTTTTTAAGCTTCCAGATGATTCTGAACTGTGGCCTGCATGGGGAATGCTGCTGTCGTGTGGTATAGAGTTTAAAGCACTCATCCACTGACACTGCATTGTAGTTTCCTAGGTAGATGGCTGATCAGAGAAGAAATGAGTGTGGGTGGGATATGATTCTACTCAAAATAAGGCTTTGGTGCAGTAATAACAGTGTCTCTAAACCCATGGGAGATAGGAAGCTGCAGAATAGAGATTCAATCATTATTAACCCAAGGAATGAAACAAAGGAAGAAACGAGTGTGTGAGCGCAACTGGGAAGTTCTCCCATCAGACACAGGGTTTTCTTTCTAATGGAAAACAGCTATGAGGAGTGAGCAGAACACCTCGTGCATCCTTTGTTCCAGAACTGAGAAGAATCCACAGTAAATACCCATTATGTTTTACAATGACCACAGAACTTTTCTCTCACAGTGGCTTTTCAGAGAACAAAATTTAAATCAATACAGTATTGATTTTTAGTCTTTGTGAAATACATCAGCAAATATTTGTAAATGATTTTTAAATGCCAGAGGTGTTAAAGCAATGGAGTACACCCTCCTGCCTGAGTGAGACGATGGCAATCTAAGATTACAAAAGATCCTTCCTCTGATCCTTTTTCCACAATGTGGAAGAAAGAGCTTTCTGGAGTGGCTCATTGATTTCGTTTCTTGTCTGCTTTGCATTCTCTACTGGTTCTCCACTACCTTTCTTCAAGGCATCCACACCCACTTCTCTAGCCTTCCCTCTCTCCACAGCCTTCCTCCACTGCCCTCCTATGATTCCAGCCACCCTCTGGTTCCCAGAGGGCCCACATCTCTCAGTATTTTACCAGGATAGCCTTCTTCCATATATCCAGCCCTCCACATTCTGGAAAAACTAACCACATCACCCAAGATTCAGTTCAAAATAACTTCAACTCTAAAGCTTTTCCAGGCCAATCCTACAGAACTGACCACTCTCTCCTTAGCTCACCTAGTCCCACTAATACAGCACCTTACACTTGATCACCTGTGTAATTTTCCCATCTGGACTCTGAGTCTTCTGATGTAAGAGACTGTATTGTATGCACTTATATACCAGTACTTATAGGAGATATCGGTATAACCTAAATTTTATACAGCTTTCATTTTCTTGATTGAATGTAACTGAACATACTGAATGAAGTTAGCTCACTATGAACTAATCTCCTCTTTGTCCACTTCTCTGAACACACACACACACACACACACACAGCAGGAAGGAGGAAAGGGAGAGAGGCAGCCTGAGTGGAAAACCTCTTGTGATGGTCCCATAATCAGCAGGGCTGGTGTCTTTACTTACCATTGATGTTCTCTGCCCAGTGATGGAGGGTGCAGGAGAGGGACTGTTTTCCTGGTGCTGAAAATCCAAACGGGAGCTATTCTGGGAACTTGAACTTCCCAAGTCGCTCTGCAGCTGTGCCTTTTCAGACAACAGTCTGGACAAAAAGCTGGCCTTGCGACTACCCGGGCGTGATTTGTCTACCCAGCCCCCACTCTCTCTCACACTGCTATCACTGTGTAGATCTGTGAGAGGCTCGCCCAAGGGTTCTAGGTCCTGGGACTGCTTCCAGGTTCCTACCGCATAGGCTGGACAGTGTCTAGAGGTGGTTGTTGTACCTGGCCAAGACTGGATAGTTGTATTCTGCACAGCAAAGGAAGAATGGTCTGGTTGCTGTCCTGAGTGCTGAATTCTGGTGCTGGCATCCTGAGGACATGGACTGTGGACATGGAGCTGTCCGCTGTGCTGATCCTTCTCAGCCCACTCTTTTTTGCTGAAGGAAGAATCTGCCTCAGGTTGCCTAGGCTGTGGGATTTGCCACATAGTTTTAGACTTTGGCACGTTGATTCGAATTCCTTGCTGCTGATTGTTAGCTTGAAGTAGAGAGATTCTGTCGGGCAAAGACGAGCAAATCATACACTGCTGGGCCGCTGAATATTTCCTCAGCTGGAATGGAGGGCCCCTTTCATTCTCAAAGCCCTCATTGCTGGATTTCTCATAAAGTGCCTTCATGATTTTCCTGACACCTAGATGAAATATTTCCAGTACATTGAGTAACAAGGAGATGGCTGCAATGCTCTGCATAAAGAGCATGAAAATGGTCTTCTCTGTGGGCCTGGATACAAAGCAGTCCACTGCATTGGGACAAGGAGGCTGAGTGCATTTGTAAAGGGGATACATTTGAAACCCATAGAGAACATATTGGCCTATCATGAACCCCACTTCCAATACAGATCTGGTCAAGATGTGTAAGACATAAGTGCGCAGTAGACATCCTTTCAGAGGGACTTTATGGATCCTCTTCTGCTCTTCTAACCTCCTCAGTTCCCTATCTATCCTCTGCTGGTCCTCCAAGTCAAGTTCTGGATTCTCCATCTGGGCTCTTAGGTACGACTTTTTCCTCTGCCTCTCTTTCTCAAAGTCCCTGAGTCTATAAAGTGCATGGCCCATGTATACCAGTGAAGGAGAAGACACAAAGATGATCTGTAATACCCAGAACCTGATCAAAGAGATCGGGAAAGCATCATCATAACAGATATTGTTGCAACCTGGCTGCTGTGTGTTGCAGGTAAATGCTGATTGCTCATCATCCCAGACATCCTCAGCAGCCACACCAAGGACCAGCATTCGAAAGATGAAGAGGATAGTCAGCCAGATTTTCCCCACTATGGTTGAGTGATAGTGAACTTCCTCTAGGATGCCACCCAGTAGGTTCCAATCCCCCATGATGAGAGACAATGTCTGAAATATACAGAAAACACTGAGGTTAATAACACTTACGGATATAGTATAGAATGCAGAAGGACATAAGTTCATAAGTACTGTAGCTTCTTTTTTCTTTTTTTCCAATATATTATTTTTATTAGGTAGAGTTACAGTGAGAGAGAGAGACAGAGAGAAAGGTCTTCCTTCCAATGGTTAACTCCCCAAATGGACGCTACAGCTGGCACTGCACCGATCTGAAGCCAGGAGCCAGGTGCTTCCTCCTGGTCTACTATGCAGGTGCAGGGGCCCAAGCACTTGGGTCATTAGCCATTGCCCTCCTAGGTCACAGCAGAGAGCTAGACTGGAAGAGAAACAACCAGGACTAGAACCCGGTGCCCATATGGGATGCTGGTGCTGCAGGTGGAGGATTAGCCATGAGAGCCACGGCGCCGATCCCTTCTTTTTTTTTTTTTTTAAGATTTTATTTATTTATTTGAAAATCAGAGTTACACAGGGAGAGGAGAGGCGGCGGGGGGGGGGGGGGGTCTTCCATCCTCTGGTTCACTCCCCAATTGGCTGCTACGATTGGAGCTATGCTGATCCAAAGCCAGGAGCCAGGAGATTCTTCCCAGTCTCCCACGTGGGTGCAGGGGCCCAAGGACTTGGGCCATCTTCCACTGCCATCCCAGGCCATAGCAGAGAGCTGGATCAGAAGTGGAGCAGCCTGGTCTCGAACTGGCGCCTGTATGGGATGCTGGCACTTCAGGCCAGGGGGTTAACCCGCTGCACCACAGCACCGGCTCCTGTAGCTTCTTTTTTTCATGTCAGCAAAATAGTGAGTTTTGCTAGCCTTAATATTTATCATTTGTGCTTGATAACGTTCGATGCTTCTAAGAAATATCAGGGTTGTTTATTTTTTAAAAGAAACACCAGAAATCCCCAACATGTGATCCAGTTTACATCCTATCATCTTCTACTATCACACACAGAAGCCTGTCATTCTAGTATATTTCTGGCCTCTATATTTGTACAATGCATTCCCATTCTAAAATTTTGCTCATCTTTCTAATCATATGAGATGCCCCCACTTAACACATTCCCTTAGTAAGTCTTCCCCAAACATCCCATGTCAGAGTTATTTTTACCTTTCTTAAATTCCTGTAATCACTCATTTAACACTGTGCCCAAATGGATTTTGAGATATTTTTGTTCTCTGTTGCCCATCCTGGAAAGTTATACCCTTGTAGATGCTCATTCTGTAGCATCTTTGTCTTTGCATACAGAAGTCATTGATGTACAATAACGGACTGAATTGCCATTTCTTTTTTTTTTTTTTTTTTTTTTTTTTTTTTTTTTTTTTGACAGGGAAAGTTAAATAGTGAGAGCGAGAGACAGAGAGAAAGGTCTTCCTTCCGTTGATTCATCCCCCAAATGGCCGCTACCAGGAGCCAGGTGCCTCCTCCTGGTCCCCCATGCGGGTGCAGGGACCAAGCACTTGGGCCCTCCTCCACTGCCTTCTGGGCCACAGCAGAGAGCTGGACTGGAAGAGAAGCAACCGGGACAGAATCCAGTGCCCCAACCAGGACTAGAAACTGGGGTACTGACGCCACAGGTGGAGGATTAGCCTAGTGAGCTGCGGCGCCAGCCGCCGTTTCATTTTAAAATTTGGTTCCTTAACTCTATCACTGAAATAACAATCAAAAGGAAAATGAAGTAGATCCTCACAATATATTATTCATGCTTTAAGGGTAAGACAAAGTGTAAATAAAACAGAACTCAGTCAAGTAAATCCTCAGGAACTAGCTCAGATTAGGGTAGCACTAAAGATTAGGCAGATAAACAATGCCAGCAATAACATACAACTACATCCACTAAGTTATGTCTGGAACATTATATTTTCATGCATTTTTTTTTTGCTAAATTAGAAGAAAAGTGAATATAACCTTCTGTAGCAAGCTTGGAATCTGGGAAAGAATTAAGACATAGCTGACATGAACAGGTTTCTTGGTTTACCCTGAAAAACATGTTTTTCAAGGTTCAATGAAGTTAAAATACATGATAGGTTGAAACCTAAGACTTCCAAATATGAAACATCCAGAGGAAAAGCAAGAATGTGTTACATTAAAATAGTTAGTAAAAACAATTTTCCCATTCCATAATTCATGCATTTAATGAAATATATTTAGTAATTTTCACTAAAGTATTACTGTCACCTAGGCATTGTGCTATATTGCCAGGATTTCAAAAGCAAGCAACATATCTCTGATCCCAGCCCTCCAGAGAGGGTGGAGGGGAAATGTGAAGGAAGACGAGAACAACAACAACAAAAGACTTCTAAGAAAATATGGCTGACTTTTATCTGATGTGTATGCTTACACAAACTTTACCTGGATGGGCATACATATGTTAAAGTTTTAAATAAAATTGAAAAAGTGCCAGATAACTCATAATTTGGAAGAGACATTAATGAAACTTTTATATTTACTCTATATAAATTGATCACTAAGGATTCCCACTAACATATAAAAGAGACCAAGACCAAAAAGCCAAAAATGAGCAGCAACCAAAAAATATAAACAAAAAAAGTGAAATCCTTAGATTTCCCCCTATTTATTTCCAAATACAAAAATAAATTCCAGGGCCTGGTGCCATGGCGCAGTAGGTTAATCCTCTGCCTGCGACACCAGCATCCCATATGGGCGCCAGTTCTAGTCCCAGCTGCTCCAATTCCAATCCAGCTCTCTGCTATGGCCTGGGATGGCAGTAGAAGATGGCCCAAGTCCTTGGGCCCCTGCACCCACATGGGAGACTGGGAAGAATCTCCTGGCTCCTGACTTCAGATCGGCACAGCTCCGGCCGTTGTGGCCATTTGGAGAGTGAACCAATGGAAGGAAGACCTCTCTCTCTGTCTCTCCCTCTCACTGTCTGTAACTCTGCCTCTCAAATAAATAAATAAAATCTTTAAAAATAAATAAATCCCAGAGGGAATAAAGTATTAAATGTAAAAAAATTGAGTCATAAAAATATTAAAACACAAAAGAAAATGTTTTATAATCTTAGAGGGAGGCTATTAAGCATATTAATGCCAGAAATTATAATCAGGAACAAGTACAGATTTTACTCATTGCAACTGAACAACAAAAGTGGGATGTTCAGGAGGCATTTGGGTCTAGACAACAAATGGTACAAACACAAGACAAACATTTGTGACTAATCATTGCACAGGGAGAGAAGATCACTCAGAGACAAGAAGTGAACCCTGAAGAAAAGCATAGGTAATAAAAGTATACAAATAAAATGAGCAATATGCAAAGAGAAGAAAGCTACAAGGGCAGTGCCACTAAAACCTAAGCAAGAGAGTTTCAAGGAACGGATACTGACAGTGCCAAAGTCACATGCTTTACTATTTAAATAATTTTTACTTAATTGTGATATACCTTGCTTGGGGATTGGAAAACTCAATACTGTATAGAAGTTGATTCGTCCCAAATTAATGAATGTGTGTGTGTGTTTGTGTGTGTGTGTCCCTCTCTATCTCTGTAACTCAAAAAATAAACCCTTCTTTAAGAAAGTTTTGCTGACAAAAATATTTGAAATCCAGCATAGTTTCCCATTTTCCAAGAACTTTTTGAAGGGCCCTTGTAATATGAGATGTAGGTACATATGTGTGTGACTATGAAAAAATGCAGGGCACACACTAGGAAGTTAATATAGGCTAGGAAATGGAAGATGCCTCTGTCTGTCTCTCACACACACTCTATGTGTGTGTGTGTGTGTGTGTCCCTCTCTATCTCTGTAACTCAAAAAATAAATCCTTCTTTAAAAAAGTTTTGCTGACAAAAATATTTGAAATCCTGCATAGTTTCCCATTTTCCAAGAACTTTTTGAAGGGCCCTTGTAATATGAGATGTAGGTACATATGTATGTGACAATGAAAAAATGCAGGGCACACACTAGGAAGTTAATATAGGCTACCTGAGGTCTGTGGGAGTTGAGAAGGGTTGAGAAAGAATTTGAAGGGAAAAGGAAGGAAAAAAAGGGAAAGGCAAAGTCTAATAAATATGCTTTATTTGTATCTGTTGTATACACATATGTAAATTTTACCTGTATGTGCATATATATGTAAAAATAGATTTCTTAATAAAATTGAAAAAGTGGTAGATACCACTCATAAATTGGAAGAGGCCTTAATGAAACTATGTGAATTGTTTGAAATTCAAAAATTAAGAATGTTTCATATATTATTTGCAGGTTAAAACAATTAGGTTTTAAAATCTTGGTCATACTTTATGAACTGAGGCAATAATTTACTAAGTTCCATCTTAAAAAGTTAAGGCCTTTTCTCATAATTTTCTTCTAAATATTTCTCATCATTCTTTATTTAAAAGACATTCCTTTAGCACTTCAAAAGTTCTGGAGCTTCTATTTTATATAAAAACCCAGAGAAGGAAAACCTAACTCATTTCAATTAACATATTCTCTATTTGGCAATCCTAAACTAAATAATGCTTCTTTTTGCCACTATTGCTTTAAAACATGGAAGTGATCATTTTACAATATAAAGTAAAGGAAAACTGGGTCTATATGAAAAGCAGCAATACAGTCTTACATATTTGCCTGCAAGAGCAGGGTCCTTGAGACAAGCAATACAAAGTTTTGCTAAAATTACTTTCTACCATTATATGACTTCAAGTCCTAGAAACACTCTTATATTTTCTTTTATTATCAAATACTAATTTAGCATCTCCCAGGTAGAAGGCTGGTGATCCTTTCCTCATTTCAGTTCAGGTCTTTCTGCCCTCACAGGGATTTCCCATATGTTTCTCATCAGAGAGTCCACATATTTACCGCTTACCTTCTAGAAGAACCAAACAAGTTCACAGCTGGACTCACATGGACCATGTGTGGCAAGTAGTGCAACAACCACTGCTGGTTGTGGATTTAAAGGCTTTGGTCAGCTGGCTATGGTGCCCTAACCCAGAATAAGAATAGTATTTTTGATCAATGCTGTCTAACACAGTCCTCCCCCAAGGTTC